GACACCTGCTGGCCAGAGGCAGGAAGGCAAAGCCTGAGGCAGAGTCCCTCAGCAGTGACTTGGTGGCTGTCTCCAGAAGTCCTTCTCAGCACCTGGATTTGAGGAGAACAAGCTGCAGTGCCTGTGGTCGCTCTTGGCTTTAGTCTTGGCAGACCTTTGTGGTTTGGATTGATTCATCTGCTCTATGTCCTGATTTCAGTTTTGCAGAACCTACATATCGTGGGTTGACATCACTCCAGGAAGTGTGAGACGGTCTCCCTCAGTTCTTTGATCTCCTCTTTGATTGTCATTCTACCTGTCAGAACTGAAGAACAAGGCTTCTAGATTTTGAACTTTCTTTACAACTTCACTCGAATCCCCGGGGCAAAGCTGCTGTGACTGCTGCTGTCCTGACACTCAAAAAGAGCAGGTGACACTAGGTACATGCGCGAGCACCCGTCAGAGCCTCTCCAGGGAGGAAGATTCGAGAAGGAGTCTGAGCCAGGGGAGGCAGAGTAGGATGTTGGCTCATAAGGTGCAAGCTGCATCTCCTGGCTCTTTGGGAGGATGGGTTTCTACAGGAGACTCCAAGGGTAACTCTAGCTGGCAAAACTCACCTACTCTCTTCCTCTGTGCCCTCTCTTTTAATAATTATGGTAATAAACATTTTCCTGACTTGCCAGGCAGTGGTGGCATACACCTTTAATCCCAGCATTTGGGAGGCAGAGGCAGGCAGATTTCTGAGTTCAAAGCCAGCCTGGTCTACAGAGTGAATTTCAGGACAGCCGGGGCTATACAGAGAAACTCTGTCTCGAAAAAAAAATTTTTTTTTCCTGACTCAGTGCATTTAAGATGCAAAAACCAGCTGTGAGGAAAAAGATGAAGCTGTTGAGTTGAGAGGAGAGAAAATGAAGGGAGAGAGCAGGAAGGAAAAGCCTAGGCAAAAGTATGAGGAGAGAGAAGGCAAGGAGGTGGCAGAAGTTCCTGAGAAACCCAGCTGTTGGTGTCTTTCCACCATCAGTTTCAGGCAGGTACTGAGCCTGAGGATGACTCCAGCACTCTTGGTCAAAACACCTCAGTAAAAGGGAAATGGATCAGAAACAAGATGTTGGCATTCTGCCACAAGATCCTCCCACCCCGCTAACACCTGTAAGTATAAATGTCATTCCTTACAGTCCAGTTTAGATCTTCTGTTACATACTGTTGTTAGGACAATGCCACATGGATTCTGTCTTCTTCTGGCCTTTCCCACCACTGTTATGTTCCTGAGCTGCTGGGTCCTCAGAAGGAAATGGTGCCTAAGACCTTGAACCTAAACTTGATCTGCCAACACAAACTTGTATCCGGGTCCCCTTGCACACCTCTTGAACTAGCTTAAAACATTTGGCGTAGTTAGAATATCTCATTTTCTAGAATCCTTGAAGTTTCCAGTTGAATCTGATATGTTGCCAAACATATACTGATATATACGTTTTATGTGTGTAATATATACATACTCATACATACATGGTGGAATGCCATTCAGATGTAAAGAAAAAATGAAATCATGTTGTTTGTAGGAAGGAAAACAGAAAGGAGGAAGAAACACTCACCATGGTAGGTGAAATGGCCCAGAAATGCAAACACTGCTTCGCATCTCACCTCTATGGAATTTCACACTATGTTGAGTGAAGGTGTCTAACGGTAGGAGGACAAAGCATTGAGAGAAGCTGGAGGCACCATGTGACAAATGTGACATTCTTCACATTCTTCTTCTCTCATTTTTGGATTCCAGGTTTGTATATACATATATACACAAACACCAGAGGAGGCCTGTGGGGTGAGTAAGGTGACCATCAGGAGAGAAGAGGAAGAAGAGAGGAGGAAAATGGAGAGGTGACTGTCAGGGACGTACAATGTCATCGTGTGTGAATCTGCACACTATTTTGTATGTTGGCTAAAAACAATTTAGACACAAGCAAACATGGATATCCCAGCTCCTCCATGTCTGTCAACAGCAAGAGCAGTGTCTCAGATGCCAGAAGGATCACCTCGTTATCTTAGAAAGCATCTGTCAGAGGAGACAACAGAGCTATCACAAAGGTTCTTGAGAGGAGGGGAGTAGATGATTGACTGGCAAGCGTTGAGGATGATTGCCACACCCAAAGTGAGTGGGTCATGATGGTTGTGCTGCTTCATGCCTTATAAGGCTTGTTGGGAGCCCACTGAGCCATAGTGGTCATCGGACATCTCTGTGGACAGGAGGCATCTCTGCAGCAGCAGCAGCTAGCTCCACAGGCTGCATCCCAGGCATGCAAGCATTAGAGTATGAAACACTAACTCATGAGATCAAGATCTGAGAATCCAGGGCCAGACAGGGGGATCCTGTGAGACTTTTAAAGAACATTACCACAGGGACTATTCCTTACTAGTGCAGGCCTTACTGGAGAGTGATACAGGTCTGAGGTTAGAAGAAAAACCAAATGACTTCCTAGAACGTTACCAGAATGAAATTGTGGATGTCATTGCACAGATGGGCCATCATGGAGGAGTATTCACACATAGATCTTAGACTTGGGTCGAAACATCTAGGAGACTGAGGAGGCAAGCCAGCCCTGCACCTCCAGGTAGAACAGCATTCACTGGCTCTGGATGTGCTGAGGAAGGGCACTGCCCAGAATGTTCCAGGCTAAGTCAGCACTCCATTGCCAAAAGTGTGGCTGTTGGGGCTCTGCTCTATCCCCCAAATGTGTAAACATGTATAAACGTGTGTGTTTGTATACATGTATGTACAATATGTACATATATATGTGTGTCTATATGTACATACACATGTAGGTTATGTGTATGTACATAAGTATAGATGTGCATTTGTAAAATTGATGAATCTGATGGTTGACCCGGTGGAGCGTGTATGTGTGTTTGGATGACTCACTCTTTATCTCTTTTCTTTCTCGCTCATAAAGAGCTAATGCTCTCTGAGCCTCTGCTCAGCCAGTGAGAGGCCCCTGAGTTAAAGAGTAACGAGCCCAAGTGATTAAGTTTCTTTGTCCTAATCCACTACTGCTGTCAACAGGAGTCGATGACCAGAAGCCACCAGCTCTGGCCTCCAGAACAGTGAGGAGGAGGTGCTGGCCAGAGGTCATCAGCCTCTGTCCTGCCTATCAGGGCCCCACCTCAGTGCCTGGATGTCTGAATGTCAGGGTGGGACTCTGCAGGTGAAGATGACACATGTAGTTCATAACACTGGCCCCAAGTCTACAAAAACATAGGGGGAACATGACAGTCTAAGAATGACTTAAATTTGTGGTGATGATTAACCTTCTTTGTCAACCTGAATGCACTTAGAATTTTCTAACAAACATATCTACTTTTGAATCAGCAGTCACCACTCTCTGTGACCAATCACCCCACTCCAGTCCTCATAACTAGACGCCCTCTCAATACCACCCCTACCATGATAGACTCCACCCTCAAGTGTGTTGTCATAGCAACCAGAAGTGTCAGCAATAAGTCAGAGAGCAATAAGTAGAACTAAGCTATAAACATATAGTAGACACTGATTGGCTTTGGTGGGGCTGGATTCATGAATAGGGATGAAACCTTAGGTCATCCAAGTTACACCCTCAGCAAACACCTTTGTATCTTGTTTACTTGTTTAAGACAAGGTCTTGGCTGTAGCTAAGGCTGATGGGAGCACCTTATGTAGCCAGTTGACAAGCTCTTCATTTCACTGGCACCTATTGCACTCCCAGTGCAGCATAGTATCAAGCCCTGCTGTACTCCAATAAAAAAAAATTCAGATTCTTCTGTGTTCTGTGATGTGCATGAGTGTTTTCCTTGCACACATGTTTCTGTGTCACTTGTATGCATGGTGCCTGCAGAGGTCAGCAGACAGCATCATATTCCATGTAACTGGAAATGTACACTCACACCGTGTTGGTGTTGTTCTTATATCAGTCGGGGCAGAGCAGATGGCAGTGCTTTGTTCATCCTTACTTGGTGTCTGGCTTGGTGGCCAAAGCTGGCTCATGCCTATGACTCATTACACTCAACTCAACTCAATCAAATCAAATCAAAACTGGCAGCACAGTCCAGGAGGAGGAAGACAGACAGACACCTACAGATAGCCATGCCACCCACAGACCTGCCCTCCAGTGCATGGCACAAACACATGCTTCCTACCACACCAGGCAGAAGGGATGGAGGATGTCACCCAGAACCTGCCACCAACTAGGCCAGCCTACAACAGGAGCCACCACAGTGTGTGAGTGTGTGACTGTCAGATGGGAAAGAAAGAGAAGTGGGGCAGCTTGAGCATTGTGAAGAGAGATGGAGCTAGAGACTGGAGGATGGAGAGGAGTAGCCTTTTGTGACAGGAGTGGCCACCCCTGCCACCTCAGGCAATGGTGAGAAGTCCCAGCCCAAGCTGTGGCTGAGGGCCATGAATGAATCTCTGTCTAAGCAGAGACAGTATTTGTGGTTCATATTATGAAGAAAACATGGTGATATCCATGGTTGGGTCTGTTCTAACTGAGGCTTGTCCAGACAGATCACACCAGATCAGCTCAGTTCCATGGGAGAGGTTTATTGTTGGGGGAAAAGGACAAAGGAGGGAGACAAAGAAGAAGAGGGAAAGGGACAAAGGTCAGGAGGGGTGTGCCTTTTATTTGGGCTGTGATTTAACCACTCCCAGGTAAAGGTGGGAGGTAGACCAGGTGGATGCTGGGAATGTGTGGCGATTGCCGTGCAACAGATGCGAGGGTCCCTGTCGTCCATGGGTGATGTCACTGTCATCACTGGATTTGGAGGTGACTTGCTGGTTCCTGGCTGTAGAACTAGTTCCTGATGCCAACATACCTCCCTTTTTCTTATCTTAAAGAGATGATGAAAGGGGAATAGGGGCCTCAGATCTCTTAAGCTGATTCTTGCTGTTTAGGGGCTTTGTCAATTTCGGGGTGTAGCTGACTTTCACCATCGGGGTCCACTTGGTAAATATTTGCATCAGGTCCCTCTGTGGACAGCAGCTCCTCTGTGGATAGCGGCTGGTAATCCTGTAACGGGAACTGATTAATAGTTTGCTTAGAAATTTTTTGTTAATGAAGGAATGTAGAAACAAGATTAAAGAGGCAGGAAGCAAATAATAATTCCAGGAAGATGACTAGGAAAGGTTTTAGGACTGGGATTATCCAGGAATTAGGGGGATGGCTCAGTGGTTAAGAGCACTGACTGTTTTTCCAGAGGTCCTGAGTTCAATTTCCAGCAACCACATGGTGGCTCACAACCATCTGTAATGCGATCCGATGCCCTCTTCTGGTGTGTCTGAAGAGAGCAACGGTGTACTCACATACATAAAATAGTAAATAAATCTTTAAAAAGAAAAAAAAAGGATGAAAGAAAGGAAGGAGAGAGAGGGAGAAAGAGAGAGAGAGAGAGAGAGAGAGAGAGAGA